ACAGACCTTTGCCTCTTGACAATCAAAGGAAACGACAAGAGAGTCACAATAGGGGGCAGTGCCAAAGAAGTGTTCCAAACCACGTATGTCTCTGTGAGATACGGCAGATTCAGCAACAAGAAAGTGACACTCTGGGATCTCATCAACTCTGAATATTTGTCTGAGGAGAAAAGGCAGGAGCTGTTAAAGCGCTACAAGTCCAAAACAATCACAATAGAAGGAATCATAACAATTATTTTAGAGATCATTGAGAGCAAGGAAGTACAAAGAAATGCTGACCTCAGTGTAAATGGTCTTAGGGGAAAAGTCTCTATTTTGGAGTTGCTGAATTCGGCAATAATAGATGAAAAAACATACAAAAATGTGCTTGAGGGGAAGCTAACAATCAAAGATCTCGCTGAGATGGGCACTGTGAGAAACTTCCTTAGTGGAACAAGCTGTATAGCAGGTGTGATATTGCAAAAGTCAAATCAGAAAATGAGCATCTACCAAGCCAAAAAAGAGGGCTATCTTACCCCTGGCACTGCCTTGTGTCTTCTTGAAGCACAGGCTGCCACTGGTTTTATTATGGATCCAATACAAGACAGGAAACTCACTGTTGAGGAGGCCTTGAAGCAGAAAGTCCTTGTTCCAGAGTTGTATGAAAAACTCTTGGCTGCTGAGAAAGCAGTGACTGGTTACAAAGACCCATACACTGGCAAGACAATATCACTTTTTGAAGCCATCAAGAAAGACCTTGTTGTAAAGCAGCATGGCATACGTCTACTTGAAGCCCAGATTGCTACAGGTGGCATCATTGATCCTTTAACAGGTTTGCATTTACCACTTGAAGTTGCTTTCAAAAAGGGTTATTTTGATGCTGACTTAAACAAGATCCTTGCTGACCAAAGTGATGACACTAAAGGATTTTTTGATCCCACCACACAAGAAAATCTGACCTACATGGAGATGTTAGCACGATGCATCAAGGATCCTGATACTGGTCTTTTCCTTCTTCCAGTCGCTGAAAAAGGGAAAACACAAGAAAAATCACAAAAAATTCTCTCAGATGCTGAGATCAAGGAAGAATTTGAGAAAAACAGTGTTGTTGTTCCTGTTGGCCGTTTCTCTGGAAAATCTCTTTGGGAAGTAATACATTCTGTATACTTCACAGATGAACAGAGGCAGCAGTACTTTGAACAATATCGTCTGGGCAAGATAAACATTAAGGATGTTGTCACCATAGTTACCAAAATTATTCAAACAATAGAACAGAAAGAAGAAACTTCTCAAACAACAATGGGCCTGAGAAAACCTGTTTCAGTGCAACAGCTGCATGACTCTGGAATCATTGACACCAAAACTTACAAAGAGTTGCAACATGGTAAGGAGACACTTGAAAATGTGGTTAAACTTGAATCTGTTCAAAGGTACTTGAAAGGCACTGGAAGTATTGCTGGAGTAAAGCTTCATCCATCAGGAAAAGTGTTAAGTTTATACATGGCAAAAACTGAAGGCGTACTCACTTCCGATGCAGCACTCTTGTTGCTTGAGGCTCAGGCAGCAACTGGATATGTTATCCATCCAATCCAAAACACACATCACACAGTCATGGAGGCTGTCAGAGCTCAAATTATTGGACCAGAGATATTGGAGCACTTACTATTGGCTGAACGTGCTGTCACTGGCTTCAAAAACCCATACACAGATGAGCAAATATGCTTATTCGAAGCAATGCAAAAAGGTCTCATCCCTCGAAAACATGGATTGAACCTCTTAGATGTACAGCTTGCCACAGGGGGAATTATTGATCCAATTGGCAGCTACAGGCTGCCTGTTCAGAAGGCAATAATGAAAGGATGCGTGAATAATGAGACCAGTGATCTTTTGGCAAATCCTATAAATAGTGAAAAGGGGTTTTCTGACCCAGAAACTAAAGAACCTCTTACTTACCAACAACTCGTGAAGAAATGTGAAAGGAATTCAACCGGCCTGCTGCTTCTCCCAGTAACTGAAAAGAGTACTGAAAACTCAACCTACAGTGACAAACAAATAATAAAGGTCTTCAAAGAAAAATCAGTGATCATCAATGCTGGTAAGTTTGCAGATAAACGTGTATCACTTTGGGATGTACTACACTCAGAATATGTCTCTACAGAGAAAAGGAAAGAATTTCTTGACCAATACAAACAAAAGAAACTGTCAATAGAGGAGATAACAGAAATGGTGACAGTAATGATAATTGAAGTAACAACAAAAAAGCATTCATTTAAAGGTCTGAGAAAACAAGTTTCAGCAAGTGAGCTATTTGGGTCAAAAATCATCTCAAAAGAAATGATGGGTAAGCTTATCAATGAGGAAGTAGATGATGAAGATATCAACCAAATGGAATCTATTCAAAAATACCTTGGCGCAACAAACTGTATTGCTGGTGTGTATGTCCAGTATACAAATCAGACCATGAGCATCTTCGATGCCAAAAATACGGGACTTCTGACACCTGGAACATCTCTGGTTTTGCTTGAGGCTCAGGCTGCCACTGGCTTTATGATTGACCCAGTGAAGAATAAAAAGCTGTCAGTAGAGCAAGCGGTGACTGAAGGACTTGTTGGGACAGAATGGAAAAAGAAACTGCTCTCTGCAGAGCGGGCAGTCACTGGTTACACGGACCCCAACACAGGAAACATAATCTCCTTGTTCCAGGCCTTGAAAAAAGATCTGATCGTCAAGGACCACGGTATTCGTCTGTTAGAAGCTCAGATCGCCACTGGAGGCATCATTGATCCTGTGCACAGCCATCGTGTTCCTGTGGAGGTGGCTTACGAAAGAGGGTATTTTGATGAGGAGATGAACAAGATCCTCTCTGATCCAGATGATGATACCAAAGGATTCTTTGATCCCAACACACAGGAGAACCTCACATACTTGCAACTTGTGGAGCGGTGCATTAGAGACCCCAAAACTGGCCTGAGCCTCCTTGTGATTGTGAAAAAGGGTGAGCACTACTTCTTCATTGATGAACATACAAAGAATATACTTAAGTCTACAACCACAAAGAAAGCAGGAGGTAAATTCCAAGGAGAGCTGGTCACTCTTTGGGATCTGCTGTACTCAAATGGCATTTCTGAGGAAAAGAGGAGAGAACTAGTCCAGCAGTTTAAATCGGGTACAATAACTATAGAACAGTTCCTAGAAATAGTCCTGACATTGATATACCAGAAATCAGGAACAAGCACCCAAACAATTACAACCATAACGGAGACAACCCAAAAACAAAATTTTCAAGGTATCAGAAAGGATGTGAGTGCTGATGAGTTGCTGAAATCCAAAGTCATTGATGATCAAATTTACAAAGACCTAACTTCCGGAAAAGTAACAGTTGATCATGTAAGTGAAATGGACTCTGTGCGAAAATACTTGAAAGGAACAAATAGCATCGCTGGTGTATTTGTGCAGTCTACCAAACAAACCATGAACATCCTTGATGCCAAAAATAAGGGACTTCTGACACCTGGAACATCTCTGGTTTTGCTTGAGGCCCAGGCTGCCACTGGCTTCATGATTGACCCAGTGAAGAATAAAAAGCTGTCAGTAGAACAGGCAGTGGCTGAAGGACTTGTTGGGGCAGAATGGAAAAACAAACTGCTCTCTGCAGAACGGGCGGTCACTGGTTACACAGACCCTAACACAGGGAACATAATCTCCTTGTTCCAGGCCTTGAAAAAAGATCTGATCGTCAAGGACCACGGTATTCGTCTGTTAGAAGCTCAGATCGCCACTGGAGGCATCATTGATCCTGTGCACAGCCATCATGTTCCTGTGGAGGTGGCTTACCAAAGAGGGTACTTTGACGAGGAGATGAACAAGATCCTCTCTGATCCAGATGATGTTGAGGCTCAGGCTGCCACTGGCTTTATGATTGACCCAGTGAAGAATAAAAAGCTGTCAGTAGAGCAGGCGGTGACTGAAGGACTTGTTGGGACAGAATGGAAAAACAAACTGCTTTCTGCAGAACGGGCAGTCACTGGTTACACGGACCCCAACACAGGGAATATAATCTCCTTGTTCCAGGCCTTGAAAAAAGATTTGATCGTCAAAGACCATGGAATTCGTCTGTTAGAAGCTCAGATCGCCACTGGAGGCATCATTGATCCTGTGCACAGCCATCGTGTTCCTGTGGAGGTGGCTTACCAAAGAGGGCACTTCGATGAGGAGATGAACAAGATCCTCTCTGATCCAGATGATGACACCAAAGGATTCTTTGATCCCAACACTCAGGAGAACCTCACATATTTGCAACTTGTGGAACGATGTGTTAGCGACCCCAAGACTGGCCTAAGTTTGCTCGCTTTAAAAAAGTAGATAAGATTTGATGCAAAATGCCATGCAATATATTCTCACTTCATTAACTACAATCACTGTTCTGTTTCCACTTATGCGAAATACAAATCTGTAAATGTATATCAGTTAACATACATTTTCAGTGTGCATTGCTTACAATATATAACATACTTTTGCAGTTTTACATTTTTAAATTTAGAAGCATCAGTAAAAGCGCAAATGCTATGTTTAAAAACGTTTAAAATCATCTTTTTAACTCATGCTCTCTTGCTGTGTTCAAAACAATTCAAATAAACACACAATTGCAATACGTTAGTTTATTTGATCATTTTCATGCCAGTAATCTCTTTCATTTCATTAAATATTGCTCGTTTACATTGTGATAAAGTCATAACATTCAATGTTTATTGCATACCAACACATGAACATGAGAAAAATGGTTGCAGATTAGGGTAGTAAAGATAAACAAGTATTTATGGGAAAAAAAACTGTAGTTGCAAATCTGACATAAATTGAAAAAGTGGCCTTATCTTTATATA